ATTAATACAGGATTAGTTATCTAGGGATTATTAAACTATATCATATCTTTATTCTAGCCAATTATCTATCAATTCTTAAACTATATCCTATCTTTATTCTAGCTAATTATCAGTTGCTTAATTATAGTAGAATTGTATTAAAATATGAAAATTTTAATCAATAAGCACTTATTACCCCGCTGTGATTTTGCATAATGCCAAATGACCCTTCAAGATTTTAAAATAGCCACATAACTCCCCCTGTGATTGTATGTATAGTGGAAAATGAATGGAATACAGAATCAGTTACGGCATTTGTGAAATCTTAATATCCATGTAAACCCTTTATGATTTGTATAAATATTCATTTTATCCCCTTGTGATTTTCACATTTATCCACGTAATCTCCCTATGCTTTTATATAAAGTGGTTAAGCTGTCGATTGATTAGCATTTAAATAAGGGCACTATTGGTATTTTAGTGAACGAAATTATATAGTTCTCTATCAAGTTTTCACTTTACATAAAATCATTTGGAGGGAAGTGAAGTGGAGATTTTGAAACGTTAGAAAGGAGTCATGCGGCAATAGTTGAAATTATATGGGAGCTACATATAATTTATCCAATTTATAAGCATTTGTGACTCATGTACATTTCCATCATTAATTTGAATTAGATTCAATTGATTGCAACCACTCATTTTCAGTCTCGACCTTCAAAAGTCTTTTGTCAGGTTTAGACAATATTCTAGTTTGTTTGACGACTCTATTTAAGTTAAACTTGTGCTAATTTCAAAGTAGACAATTCAATGGTAAAAAATCAAAATCCACAAGAACATGCTCACTTCCTCCTCTCCAAAACATCCAAATTCAGGCAAAGTATATAAATACAGCATAAGATAAAGGTCCATTTTGCTTTTAATTTCAGTCGATTGCATATTGTAGTCTAATAATAATAATGAAGAAACTCCTCAAAGTCTCACCACTTAAATTGTGTATATGGGACATAAACAAGACATTTTTGTGTCAAAATGTGAGTTCTTAACTACCTATTTTATAAGTTCGAAGTGCTAGAAACACTACAAGAAATTTGGCCTTTTGTGACAACATTCTCTGTGACAAGAGAGAAAGTTGTCACTATTGAAAACTTTAGTGACGACTTTTAATATCGTCATACTTGATCGTGGTTTCACCCGTCAACAGTGACAACACGAGATAAGTCGTCACAATATGGATGGCGCGCAACTATTCAGTGTGGCGGGAGATCACCGTTGTGACGACTAGAAAACATGTTGTCACTGAAACTCGTCCTACAGTGACAACTTAAAATATCGTCACAATATCGTTGTCAGTTCTAAATTAATGACAACAACTAGTCGTCACTGTCCAAATCATTTATTCCCATCTCACTTTCGCTAATTCTACTATGTCACCCTAATATTTTCAATATGGCCCATATGTTGTAAATAAGTTTTATTAATTCTACCATGGCACCCTAACTTTTACATTTTGACCCCATATACCACCTTAATTTTTTTAATATAGCCCATGTGTTGTAAATAAATTTTGTTAATTTTGCTATGACACCCTCACTTTTACATTTTAACCCCATATACCATTTTAATTTTTTGAATATGGCCCATATGTTGTAAATAAATTTTATTAATTCAACTATGACACCCTAACTTTTACATTTTGACCCCATATACCACCTTAATTTTTTCAATATGACCCATGTGTTGTAAACAAATTTTATTAATTCTACTATGACACCCTAACTTTTATATTTTAACCCCATATACCACCTTAATTTTTTCTATATGGCCCATACGCTGCAAGTAAATTTAATTAATTATATTATGACACTCGAACTTTTACATTTTAGCCCCGTATTTGGTAAACTAATCTCATTAACTCTCCCATGACACCTTATCTTTTGCAATTTAGTCTCGTATGTGATAAAGAAAATTTTTATTAATTTTATTATGCCACCCTATGCTTTTACACTTTAAGTTGTGTTTATCATTAGCAAAATTAGGAATATATTGTAAAAAACAATGTTTACCTATTTTTCAATTATTCTAAACATAGCTAATACCTTGTTATAAAGTTAAAAAATATCATGAATTCTTTATTTAGTTCTCTTGAAACATTTGGAAAATTACTGATTAACATAGTGTGAAATGGAACAGAATAATAAAATTTAATATGAAATTAAGTAAAAATCTTGACAATTCCATGACTGGAGTTTGTTATGTATTACAATTTACAATAATCAAATTGTTTATGGTTTATGAATCAGTACATGTATCAAATAGATTTAGTGTTTCATGCATGTATTAGTAAACCATTTTGGTTATTTGATCAACTAAACAGATTGTTTGGTCTTGTCAGACCATAATTCGTGCATAATTGATAAAATTATCAAATTGATACAAAAAATATTTGCATTAAAATATCTTTTTTAGAATCATAAACATATTTTTAAAGTGCTTGTTCCTAACTCACTTTCATTATTTCTACTATGCCACCCTAATTTTTTCAATGTGGCTTATATGTGATAAATAAATTTTATTAATCTTATTATGACACCCTAAATTTTACATTTTAGCCCCATATGTAATAAACTGATTCCATTAATTCTATCATGACACCTTATCTTTTACAATTTAGCCTCGTATGTGATAAACCGATTTCGTTAATTCTATTATGGTGCCCTATCCTTTACACTTTAGTTGATGTTTTTCATTAGCAAAATGAGAAAGATATTGTAATAAAATATATATACATATTTTTAAAATTGTTCCAACCTTAGTTAATAACTTGTACCGAACTTAGCTAAGGTTAAAAAATATCCTGGATTCCCTATCTAATTGTCTTGACAACACATGAAAAATTATTGACTAGCATAGTGTAAAAATAATGGCAAAGAACAATAAAATTCAACATGAAATTAAGTAAAATCTTGACAATAGCATGGTTGGAGTTTATTATTAATTACAATAGTCACATTATTTATGGTTTATAAATCGGTATTTGTACTAAATACATTTAGTGTTTCATGCATGTATTAGCAAACTATTTTGGTTAATTGATCAACTAAACAGATTGTTAGGCCTTGTCAGACCACAATTTCGTACATAATTAATAAAATTATTAAATTAATACCAAAAATATTTGCATTAAAAGATTTTTTTGAATCATAAACATAATAAGACACTAAATATTCCAAAAACACTAATTTTCAAAAACACTAAATTAATCCCAGAAACACTAAATTTTCCAAAAATTATCCAAAAACACTAAATTTTCAAAGTTTTAATGTAACAAATAAAGTTCCAAATACAACTTGTGAAGTAAAAAAGCTCAAAATAATAACCTTATTGTTGCAATTTTTTTCGAACAATAATTTGATCAATTAGCCGTACAAAAGAGGATGAAAGTGTTATTTTTTGGTCTTAGCTAAAATGGAAGCGGGAAGCTGAAAATTGAAGAAGTACATGAGGGTGAACAAAAGAAACAGAAACGACATAGTTTTGGCTTTGTTGTTTGATAAAAACACTCACAACACTTAGCAAAAATTTCAGACAAAATTTTCTTTCCCTCTTCTTGCCAGTTTTGGACACTATCATCTTCTTCTTCTCTCCACTGCCATCTTGCTGAATGTCATGGAGTATGAAGAATAAACAGGAGGCGTGTTCCAGATTGCATTGAAGGCGCAGCTGCTCAACTTGATGAAGAAAGGCGTGACTTACAAATCACGCCTTCTACCTGATATAACAGAATTATACTTCTGTTTGGCGCAAGTGGAGCTGATGATTCCAGAACTTCCACGTGGCCTCACCTGATTAGCTAGTTTACAAGTTAGTTAGTCTGGAAATGCCATAAAAGGCTGAAGAATCCGAGAGTTAGCATAGATTTTTGTCATATTATTTCCATTGTTTGTAAAGTGGAATTGGCCCTGCCAACTTCCTCCTCTCTTCTCTCTTAATTCCTTCAATCTTTCCCTTTCAATCCTAAATCCGTTGATTCTGTTCCTGTATTTGACATACCTATTGTTAATGAGAAGTTGAAGCTCCAATAATCATCTCCATTCCCTGTTCCATTCAAATTCGTCAGGAGTTAATTCACTTCTGCTGCAACTAATCTGTCACCATTGCTGCTAATTGGTTCAATACCATAACAGTGGTATCAGAGCAGCTACGGTCCGTCTGGGTTTGGCTGCTTGATTAGAAATCTTTCCTCCTAATTTTTCCTTCACTTCTGATTCACCTTCATCCCTATCCATCTTCATCTCTTTTCTGACCAATCAATATATATATATATATATGAAGACCCTTGAAGAAATCTCTAAAATGCTGAATTACTTCCTGGTAGAGCATAATAAGCCTAAACAAGCAACTAACGTAGTAGAGTACTATGAGGAATTTGAAGAGTGGAGAAACGAGATGTTGGCTTTGAAACCAGAACTCAGTGAGGAATACTTTATTGATGGTTTTAACTTTGGGCTTGATTGGAATATCCAGATGAAGCTAAAGAGATTTAGGAGTCCACCCAAGATCTTGTATGAAGCATATCTCCGAGCAAAAATCGAGGAAGCCGTGATGGAGAAGCATGATTCTGCTCTTGATTCACCAAAAGGAGAGCAGCTTATGAAAGAAAATGAGGGTGTAGAGGCTGAACACAATGATATAATCACTAACTTGAAGGATGAAAGTGTAGTCAGCCACATGTTTGATGGGTTGTGCCAAAGGACTCCAATGGATTTTTTAGAGGAGAACCAACATAAAACATCAGCAAGGGAATATCAAGAAGAAAAAGCTAAAAACCAAGTGTGTGATAGATTGGCTCACAACGATTGTGTTATCTCTCAAGGGCTTAGCTATGAATTGCTTACAGGGGAGCTAGGTTGGCAACAAGGCTCTATAGACAAGGAAATATTTAACTCTGCTTCACCGCTCCACTGTCCCAGAAATTGGTCTTCGGTCAGCCGTGAGGTAAAGCAAAAGTTCATTGAGATTTTATTTAAAAGACCAATCATGATGATCATAGGCTACAGGGCCATTGCCCGGCCTACTTTCTCCCTTGTCATTTGTGACGTGCCTGCCATTTCCTTCTGTAAGCCTCAACTGTATTCTTCTTCCATGAATGGATGTAGATTCATGCGGTTTAGTTGTTCAGTTTCTGGTAGAACCGTTTCATCTACTTCTCTAGACTTATCTTTGTCCAAGGACAATTCTGGTAATGAAGGGCTTCAAAGGCAAAAGGCTTCTTCCTCTTTGTATGCTCATCCTAGTTTGTCACAGATTAGGAGTGAGAAGGCAGCCAATCGAGCCCCTGTTTATGATTTCTTGAGGGGAATTGGTGTTTTCCCTGATGAGCTTGATGGATTGGAGCTCCCTGTCACTGTAGATGTAATGTGCGAACGTGTGGACTTTCTTCACAGATTAGGCCTCACTGTTGAGGATATAAACAATTACCCACTGGTTCTTGGCTACAGTGTCAAGAAAAACATGGTTCCCGTCCTTGATTACCTCGGCAAGTTGGGTGTTAAAAAATCTACGTTTACAGAATTCTTGCGTAGATACCCACAAGTCCTCCATTCTAGTGTTGTTGTCGATCTTGCACCGGTAGTTAAGTATCTTCAAGGAATGGATATCAAGCCAAATGATATTCCTCGGGTTCTGGAGAAGTATCCTGAAGTATTGGGGTTTAAGCTGGAAGGCACCATGAGTACTTTAGTGGCTTACTTGGTTGGAATAGGGGTCGCAAGGAGAGAAATTGGTGGGCTACTAACTAGATACCCCCAAATATTAGGAGTGAGAGTTGGCCGTACAGTCAAACCATTTGTGGATTATCTAGAAAGCTTGGGAATACCACAATTAGCCATAGCTAGACTAATAGAGAAAAGACCTTTTATTCTTGGATTTGGACTTGAAGACAGGATCAAGCCAAATGTTGAGTCCCTTTTAGAGTTCAATGTTAGGAAATCGTTGCTTGCATCTGTCATTGCACAGTATCCTGAAATTATAGGAGTAGATGTTCAAACAAGACTTTGCACTCGAAGGGACTTTCTTAATTCAATCATCCAATTGGATCCTGTTGGTTTTGGGAGAGTTGTAGAGAAGATGCCACAGATTGTCAGCCTCAATAATACTGCCATATTGAAGCATTTGGATTTCCTCAAGGAATGCGGATTTTCCTTGGAACAAGTGAGAAAGATGGTGATGGCCTGTCCCCAACTGCTTGCTCTAAATCTTGATGTCATGAAAGTAAGCTTTGATTACTTCCAGGGAAAAATGGCAAGACCGTTGGATGACTTGGTTTCTTTCCCAGCCTTTTTCACTTATGGTCTTGAGTCAACTATTAAACCAAGACATGCAATGATTGGAAAGAAGGGTTTGAAATGTTCTCTTGCTTGGTTCCTTAATTGTTCTGATGAGAAATTTGAGGAGCGGATGACATATGACACTATTGACATGGAAGAGATGGAAGTTGAGTCATCATTTGACATGAACTCTTTACTTGGTACTAGAACAGTGGTACCAATTTCTGCAATTTCTGCAAATAGGTACTTTGGTCTGCAATTTCTGGCTGGCTTGGCCTGTAATGGCTACATAGGAATTCTCCTATCTGTTTCAAATCCAGGAGTAACAGCAGGACTTCAAACCTTGCTTGGGTGTGTTGATGCTAACATGCAAGACCTTTTAAAGGCAGTAGAGAAATTCCTTGGTTTGCATTATCCGGATCAAGTTGCTCTTAAAAGATTATATATGGTTGGTGGTGCTACTTCTAGAATTTCAGCTCTTGTTGCTCAGCTAAAACAGAAGAATCAGCAAGCTTTGCCATTTTCTTATACTACTTGCTTGCTGCGAATTGCCAAATATCAATCCGAAGACTTTGTTTGGAAGCTTGGAACTTTGTTCGACATCCTTGAGGACAAGGATTGTTTAAGGGGGAGGCTCTGTCATGGAGTATGAAGAATAAACAGGAGGCGTGTTCTAGATTGCATTGAAGGCGCAGCTGCTCAACTTGATGAAGAAAGGCGTGACTTACAAATCACGCCTTCTACCTGATATAACAGAATTATACTTCTGTTTGGCGCAAGTGGAGCTGATGATTCCAGAACTTCCACGTGGCCTCACCTGATTAGCTAGTTTACAAGTTAGTTAGTCTGGAAATGCCATAAAAGGCTGAAGAATCCGAGAGTTAGCATAGATTTTTGTCATATTATTTCCATTGTTTGTAAAGTGGAATTGGCCCTGCCAACTTCCTCCTCTCTTCTCTCTTAATTCCTTCAATCTTTCCCTTTCAATCCTAAATCCGTTGATTCTGTTCCTGTATTTGACATACCTATTGTTAATGAGAAGTTGAAGCTCCAATAATCATCTCCATTCCCTGTTCCATTCAAATTCGTCAGGAGTTAATTCACTTCTGCTGCAACTAATCTGTCACCATTGCTGCTAATTGGTTCAATACCATAACACTGAAATTATCCAAAAAATCACTTTGAGCCACCATTTTCATCCCTAATTTGAGCTACCCAAAAGATTTGTGTAGATTTTGTGGAGTTGCAGATAGCAAAAATCCCTAGATCGGTGCAGCAAAAATCCCTAATCAGGAGGAGGAGCTGCTGCACAATCGGGTCACCGGAGGCCGCCTAGTGTTACTACTGGTATCTTACGAACGACGGCATCGAGTTCCTGAGGACTTACCTCAATCTTCCCTCTGAAATTGTTCCTGCTACTCTTAAGAAGTCCGTCAAGCCCCTCGGTCGTCCTATGGGTGGACCTCCTGGTGACCGCCCTCGCGGACCACCAAGGTTTGATGGGGATAGGCCCAGATTTGGTGACAGGGAGGGGTATCGTGCTGGTCCCGTGGACCTTCTGATGAGTTTGGTGGTGAGAGCCAGATTGAAAAAATGGGAAGTAGTAAACCAGTATTATATTATTTATATTGCTCCCATGTTATATTAGTAGTAATATTTCCCGTTGACTGCAAAAAAAAAAAAATTGAAAAAAAACAAACATAAAAGAGAAAGAAGATGAAGAGAACGCACAGCAAACCGCAAATCCTATCTGAGATAGAATCCTTCTCATTCAATCAATTTTTTTTTTTTTGCTTTTCCTTTTTCATCTCCCTTAACCTGGCCGTTTGAGCACAGCCGTTTACTTGTACCATTTTAAGCTTTTCTTTTTCTTTTTTTGGGAACAATTTTTTTGTTTCATCCTGTTGGATCTTTCTTTGCAGCTGGTGTACGTTCCTTCTACAAGGGAAGGCCGCCCCTGTTAAGTTTCACTGCAGAGATCTAATTCTCACCCACTTTTTGCCTGGGCCCGGGATTTTTTTTTCCCCTGCGCGAATATTTTGGCTAGACGTCTACTTGGTTTGTATCCTTCTTTCTTTGTAATTCTGCAAGAATTTGCTATCCTCAGTTTCATTTACATCTGTTACACGTATATCAGCACTTGAAGTTGGATTACTTATCTCTTATTTATTTATTTTTGGATCTCTTTAACCCGTTTATTGCTATTCGAAATCCTTCAAATTTGGCTATTTTGGACGAAAACTTTTTGTCTTCTCGAAGTTGTAGCTAATCCCTCTTGTTTCCCCCATCCCACCCACGAATTGATGATTTGGGTTGCCAGAAAGCTGAGAACTCAAGGACTGTTTGACAAAATCCATTTTAGGTTTTTATTAGCAATTGGTGGTGCGAATTGGCATAAAGCTCAGAACTTGAGTGAGTGATAAGACCCTTCTTGAGAGCTGAATTATGTTATTTGCAATTTAGGCTCTCAGATGTTGCAGTTGAAAGTTATGCATGTTGAGATACGTAGTTGATTGAGACTTATCTATAGTTTTGGTTGCTCTAGGTCTTCAAATCAATCTAAGGAATTTCTTAAAAACATGTGGTAGCACCTTTTTTCTGGGTTTAATGGATTATATGCTGGTGCTTCTTGTTACTGATAAAAAAAAAAAAGGATAAGCAGGAGATTGCAAAGTAAGAATTTTTTATTCTTGTCATAAGGCAGAGATAATTTGCTCGTTCTTGGCATCCTAGATTCTCTATGAATTCCTTGCATTTGTATATTGAAGCGCTAATCTATAAATATTGAGTGGTTGATTTCTAGATATCAGATGTGATTTTTTGAATTCTTCAATCTGATTATGAGAATAATCAGATAAGTTTTCTACTAATATGCTTTCTCTTGTGTACTTAGATTATAATTTGCCCTGGTGATCGAGTTGCTTGTAGTCATGTTAATGCAATTATAGGAATGGTATTTTTGGCATGGACTAATGAATGTTCTGCTTTCTTTGGTTTACTTACTTGAATGTATTAAGATCGTCACTTCAATGCTGTTAAGATCTTCACTAAAAGAACCACCCAATATCCATAGTTGAGACAAGCTGAACTAGAAGTCTATGGCAACCTTGGTTATAAATGAATGATGGGGCTCAAATCTTTCCTTGTCGAAACTGCTATAGTTATTATGATTTTCTTCTATATTTGTTCAAGGAGTTGACATGTAAAATTTTTTTAAAAAAGGTGTTGACGTGTATGATGAATCTTGTTAACAGATGCTGAGGAAGTTAAGTAAACAGCTGAATGGTGAGGATTGGATGTGGAACAACCTAAATACCTTGTGCTGGGCAATAGGATCTATATTAGGATCAATGATGGAGGAACAAGTGTATTGCTTTATGCTGTATATTTTTCCTATTTTTTAGTCTTTCTTCGCTGAGTGACTATTTTCTGGCTTCTTTCTACTCAAAATGAGACCTTGTGTTTGGATAACTTTCAGTTTTGTGGTTCTTTTTCTTTTTCACCATTTTCTTACTTTTATTTTTTTGCATCAACTGTGGCAGGAAAACAGATTTCTTGTGATGGTGATACGTGATTTGTTAAACCTTTGTGAGATTACAAAAGGCAAAGACAACAAAGCAGTTATTGCAAGTAATATAATGTGAGATGTTAAACTGCATTTTCATTCTGATAGAGTAGGTAGCAGTAACTAGGCATTCTTATGTGATAACTTTATCTCAGTTAACTATTTGCAAATGAAATTTATTTAGGCAAATGACCGTGAACTCCAGTTTTCCATGGTTGATGGTGATTTCAAGAAGTTTGAAGGAAAATGGTCTATCAAATCTGGTAAAAGGTAAATTCTGGTGTAACACATTTTGCATCTCCTTCCTGGTGATTTGTTTCTGAGGATGATTAAAGACTCAAGTATCATTTGGTTCTTAACATTTTTGGCAATCCAAACTGGTTATCCATCTCAACTATTGCATGAAAATGTAGCCTCTTTAGTTTTGGAGTCTTTATTCAACTAAAATGATATTGTTTACCTTTACATAGCACTGGTAAACATCTTTAGTGCCTAAACTATTGTCTACTGCTTTAATGCCTAAAGGAGTCAGATTTTGTCTACCGCCAAAGTGCATTTCCAAATAATGTTGGACATTTTTAGACTAACTCGATGCACTAAATAGTTATAATATTATTAAAGCAGTGCCTAGTTTTAATTGTACATAGTTTTAATTGCAGCAAATGATGTGAACATTTACTAACTGGATTTGTCAAACATTTGAGGTTGTAAGGGTATTTTCTTTTTTTCTTTCAGATAGTCTAAGTAATCAATGGTTGAATGTTCTTGCACTTGATTAATTTTGCTGCAGAAACTCTCTACTTTGCAATGATGTCTACTATTTTCTAACATGTTTTAGTTTGACAATGGCAGTAGTAGCATAAAAGAGTACCATTTTTATTCGGCCGAAGTTGGTTGCTAATCGGTAGTTCAAGACTTTGGCACTCATATTACACTTTTTCTAGAGGGAATGGAATGGGCCCTGTTTTCGGCTTCAATTAAATAGAAAAGTGCGCTGTCTTCGAGGTCATAGATGAGAGCTGACAAGATAGAAAATGGAACTAGATTATGAATCAGGATGAGAAACTATTGTTTGTACTTTCAACTTCCTTAGTGGGAGATGTCTGTGATAAAAATGATGGAGCCATGTTTTGAAGCATACTTTTGTCTGCAGGTCGTGCTAACTCCGACACATTTAGCTATTGTGATGGAATATGCTGCTGGTGGAGAGCTCTTTGCAAAAATTTATAGTGCTGGTGGATTCAATGAAGATGAGGTGTAAACACATGCAAAATATATTTCGTTTGCCTTGATCTCATTTTCTTTGGGCATTGATTTTATAGAGAGATACTTATGGGACTTTCTTATTGTTAAAACGCAGGCTCGCTTTTTCTTCATTCATTTTGTAATTGCTGTCTATTTAATTTCTAGATTGCGGATGTATGGTCCTGTGGTGTGACATTGTACGTGATGTTGGTGGGAGCTTATCATATTGACTTAATTGGATTTTTGTTCAATATGACTATTCATTCAAATTCAATAGTGTATGCTTGTAATGGCATATTTTTTGACTGAAATCGATTCTAATGCATATGATACTTTTCTTTCAATGCAGTACAATGCTATTAAATGCTCTTGAGGAGATGAAAAAGGTTGGCATTTGGATATGCTCATGAAGATGACTTCAGTTTGACACAAATTGTTGCTTTAGTCTATGTTTTTGTTTGGAAAGAGTACTTTGTTTTTTTGGATGTGTAATGGCTGTTACTAGTGGAATTGATGTGAATTTAGTACTCTATTGTTTGGATGGATAATGGTTGTTAGTACTTGAACTAACGTGGGCTTTGGAACCCATTTTGGTTAATGTGTGTTGTGATGAATTTAGAGATGTTTATAACCATATATATATATTTGAGGGTTCATTGTACATTAATTACTATCGTTTTTTGCATTAGTCGAGCCACAATTTTCTGCTATGGTTGTTGAAAATGCAATAGAATTGCAGCTCTAGTAGACAAAGTTGTAAGTTCACTAAGTGACGATTATTCTTGTCACTGAATACTAGAAGTGAGAGTGACAAGTTCAAGTCGTCACTGTGCGCGTTCAAATTTGTGACGACTTCTGCTATCTTTTATGATAAAAAAATTTTGGAAACAGTGACAAGAAACTTCGTCATAGAATACTATTCTTTAGTGACGACTTAGTCTTCGTCATTAAATAATAATATTTAGTGACGACTTTGTAGAGGTTGTCACACATACCCATTTGTGACATAGAATTAGTGACAACGAGGTGACAATAGAAAAAGTCGTCACTGTACTCATATAATGACGACTTTCTAATTTTTAGTGATGACTTTCTATTGTCACAAAAGGTCAAATTTCTTGTAGTGAAAACTTTTGAAAATACAAGTGACTATTTTGACAATTTGACAAATGTAAAAAGCGAAGAATTAAATTTCCAATGATGAGATTGAAGCTTTTCTCGAAAAAATTGTTATGTTTTTCGTGATCAAATTTTTCAATCATATTTTTACCTTACATATATCAAATTACTGTAATAATTTTTTTACAAAAAAATTCAAAAAATAACAATCCAAGAAGGATGTTCTGAACCACCATTCCAACAACCCCCAGAGATATTTTTCACAATCAAAGGCCCCATCTAGTGTTCAATCGAAAAAAAAAAGATGAAACCTTCAACTAAGCATTGATCAACAAACGCCAAGTGAAATTTGTGTTTTAAAACTTGGATCGGACCGGCCGGTCGAATCGGAACCGGCCAAGGGTCCGATCCGAGTTATACTAAAAAATCGGGTAAGTAAAAATCCAGTCAAATCCGGTCAAAATCGGGTTTGATTTGAAAAAATCGATTTTCCGGTTCAATCAAACACTTTTAAAAAATTTCAAAATTTTTTAATATTATGTTTTGACCCCTGGGTTGTTAAAAATTATTAATATACGTCAAATATTTCATAATTTATAAATGTTGTCTTAAAGTTTGGTGTTATTTTCAATTAAGTCCATAATTTTAATTCTAAACTTGTTAATACTCATTAAATAATATAAATTACTACTTGATTGTTCTAATTTCTTTGTATTTTCTTATTAAATATATTTGAAACATCAAATATATATGAATATACCTTTATTAATATTAACATGTTATTAGATATTTTACAAATAATATTTTAATTTTTAAATAATTTTTATTTATAACGTCATCAGGTTCAACGCCGATCGAATCCAGTTGAACCTATTGACCCCTGACCCCTGAACTTGATCGAATCGGCACCCGGTCCGGTTCTGAAAACATTAGTCCGTTTGGATTAGCTGTTTTTGGGTTGTTTTTCAAAAACAACACTGTAGCATTTCGTTTTTCAAATACAAGTCCGTTTGGATTAGTTGTTTTTTGGGTTGTTTTTCAAAAATTATATAAAAAGCTTTTACTGTAGATGTTTTATGGATTATTTTTAGATGTATTTTTAAAACATATTTTCGAGTATTTTTATATTTTTATAACAATATATAATTATACATTTATAAATATTTATAAATAAATAAATTTATATAAAAATATATAAATGTATTATATTATATATAATACATAATATAAATATATTTATAAATGCATAAATTATAAATGAATATTATATAAATGTATAAATTATAAATTATAATTTTTATATTTATATACATTTATGCATTTATAATACATTTATTAATATTTATAAATAAATATATTTAAATATTTATAAATAAATATATTTAAATATTTATAAATAAATATATTTGTACTTTTATAAATAAATATATTCATATATTTATATATAAATGTATTATATTATATATAATACATAATATAAATATATTTATAAATGTTTAAATGTATATTACTATAAATATATAAATTATAAATGAATATCATATAAATGTATATTATAATTTATAATTTATAATTTTTATGTTTTTATATTTATATACATTTATGCATTTATAATACAATTATAAATATTTATAAATAAATATATTTATATATTTATGAATAAATATATTTATATATTATTCTAAATAAGTAAGTGTATTATATTTATAAATAAATTTATATATTATATATAAATAAATAAGTGTATTATATTTATTTATTTATTATATATTATATTTATAAATAAATATATAAATGTATTATAAGTGTATTATATTATATATAATACATAATATAAATATATTTGTAAATGTATAAATGTATATTATTATAAATGTGTATAAATTATAAATGAATATTATATAAATGAATATTATAATTTATAATTTATAATTTTTATGTTTTTATTTATATACATTTATGCATTTATAATACAATTATAAATATTTATAAATAAATAAATTTATATATTATGTATAAATAAATAAGTATATTATATTTATAAATAAATTTATATATTATATATAAATAAATAAGTGTATTATATTTATAAATAAATATATAAATGTATTATAAGTGTATTATATTATATATAATACATAATATAAATATATTTATAAATATATAAATGTATATTATTATAAATGTGTATAAATTATAAATGAATATTATATAAATGTATAAATTAATATATTATAAATATATATTAATACTATGTATAAATGTATTAATGTAATAAATATAAATGTATACATTTATTAATATTATGTATAAATGTGTAATTAATATTATGTATATTAATATAAATGTATAAATGTAATATATTATATATAATACATAATATAAATGTATATTATAAATATACATAAATATATATATTATGTTTAAATGTACATTTATATAAATGTTCAATATATATAATATATATTATGTATATATTAAATATATATAATATATAACATTTATATAAATGTATAATAACATATTTATAATATATACAATTTATATAATATATAATATTTATATAAATATATAAAAATATATTTTATATAAAGTAAAATATTTATAATATGTATAAATAAATATATTTAAATTAATATAATATATATATATCCTATACATAATTGAAATATATAAATTGAAATAAACATATTAAATATGTATTTGGAGTTGTTTTTGATATATTGTTTGGATATTGGTGTTTTTGGAGTTGTTTTTGAAATACACATTTACTGTAGCATTTGGATTGTGAAAAACAGTTTTTCAAAAACAGGCCCAAAAACAAGAATCCAAACGGACCCATAGAGAGTGAAATTGCCAAGCAAACTTGTCTATGGCAGTCAAAATGGCATCCAAGTTTGTCAAAGATGCACTGCTGCAGCACTTCTAGTCTTCTACAGCGGTGGAAAAGCAAATAAAAGCATCCAGCTGGCGTGGAAATGGGGAACTTTGAGGTCTCTGGACTGCAAATAAATTCAAGGATTTTAAGCCACGATATTATTGTGTTAGCGTAATCCCTTGCAGAAAGCAAACCAGATAAGGAGTACTTATATATGTTTTAAATCTGATCCCCAAGGATCGTGAAATTAATTTTACGTTTATGTCGCAAGAATTAACGAGTGAGATTCCAAATGATCATTGCCGTCTTTTTTTTAAAAAAGAAAAAAACTAATTATTATGTCCCAGTTTCTTGTCCTTCTTGGGTGGAATTTTCCACGATCAAGGGCCCCAAGCTCGTAGATCAAAAGCAGACGAAGAATCCCACCAACGAAGAAAGGTCTACGGGAAATTGCCAAGCAACTTCCGTTGCAAAAGCATTCCCACAGCTTGTGAAGGAAGCGCTACACCAATTGGATCTGGGCCCCAATCATGTCGCCTTCAAGAAGAAGACCGTTCGTCGGCGGTCCTCTAACAAAAAGGAGTGGGGGGACCGCAGCGGGCCACGCCTACGGGTTCTGCGGTTGGACGAAAACGATGCCGTTACAATAACTAGTAACGGAAAAAAAAGAAAAAGAAAAAGAAAAAGAAGAAGTGGTGCATCACTTTGGCGTTCCATCACAGTGTTACAGCTGGAAGGTCCGAACAGCCCCGGGTTTTAAGGTGGCGTCAATTACATGAACAGCCCCGGGATTTGAGTCGGGTAGCGAGCACGAGTTTGGCTCATAAATTACATGAATTTTTTAATTTTGGGCTTTCGGATTTCAGATTTAGTCTCAAATCGGGTTTGATCCAAACTCATAATTAAATACATGCTTATATACAATATATATTTTATAATTATGAATTAATACAAATTTATGTACAAATTATTAAGATTTCATGTCGTAATATGTACTAGTATTCAAGACACACCCTAATGCGCCTGCAACTAATAGAAAATATATTTTGAACATATTTATTAAAATCATTTTCATGAAAATTGGTTTTATATTTTGAAAATACATATATAAAAAATTCACCAAAATAAAAGTTATAAAAAGTAGTTGCTTTCTAGTTATTCATAACCATAATTGGTAGTTGCTAATTAAAATTAAGATTTACTAAATAAGTTGAAAAACAGAATATGAAAAAATACGTATTACTTGGTAAAAAAAATAAATATATTGGCTGTGGTTAGTTGTCAAAGATAGATAAGTTTTTGTTTATACCAAAAGTTCCATCGTCATCAAGGGTAGTTTAGAAAGCATATAAAGTGTCAGATTTTTATTTACCACAAACCCCCTCCTTTTACACTCTCTGCAAGGCAAGATGGGATCTTTTACACTCTCTGCTCCTATGTTGCCCTTGTAATTTCTTCCTGCTTACAAACCTTTTGAGGAGGTTCGTAATGTCTCTGTAATTTTGTTGTTACGAACTAGTAATTTTGTTGTTACTAGTTCGTAATCAATAATAATTTCGTTGTTAACTAGATATTACAGGTTCGTAATGTCTTCTTCCTGATTTTTTATTTTTATCTTATAACAAACTAGTAATTTCTCTTTAATGTCTCCTGTAATGTCTCCGTTTTCACTAGGGTTTTTCTTTACCCCTCTCAATTATGTTGGTTGAATTTTTCGATTTTTAATGTCAATTCTTTTCTGCCTAAGTTGTTGTGGTTAATTTCGATTTTAATTAATTTATTTAATTGCGAAATTATTGAAAATCTAGTAATCAATCAAAAGAACCCGCAATATTAGAAGAACAAAAGGAAAAGATGAGAAATTGACAAAAAAAATCTGATCTTGTTTTGTTCAGTTTTGCATTATATTCTGTTCAAGCTAATTGTAAGTTTTTTTTTTCTTTTCGCAATCATGATATGCTAAAATATTTGGTTTTTTGCCTATTGATGGGCAAGCTGAATTTAAGGTTTCCAGAAGCTCAAAAAGTTTCCTTTGCCTTTGTCGTTGTTGTCTTGTTCATTAAATTTTAAAATTTTCGAGTAGTAGATTAAATCAACTTAAACTCTATCTAAAAACGTAGTGGCCTGAGCCCAAAATTATAAGTGAAGATGCGGAAGGAGAATGAAAATGAGAACTTAAGCTGCATTGCTATCATTTTTAGGATGCTGATGTTGTGCTAAGGTTTTCAAAGCCAAATAAGTATTGGGTTGAAAGCTCGCAGAAAAGGGTAAGTTTTGTGCTTAAATTTCTCAGACATGAGCTTGCTGAGAAAGGCTGATGTTGTGGACTTTATCTAGATAGATGATTACTTATTTTTTTGTGCAAAGCAGTTTAGTGAAAATGTTTTCAATTAGGAGAAGTTTTGTTCTTCTTCTATCAGTTGTGGGAAAATTTGTTTCAAATCATTAAAACATTTTAAACATGATAATCCAGGCCACCATATCTTAGTATATGTCCTTATATTTCCTGAAACTATATTCTTCGTTATTTACAGAATAAGGTTTATGTGGGTCTAATATCTAAGAGTTTGAGAATACTCAAATTCTACATAGATATATATGCCTAATATCATTGTAGCAAGACTGAGTAACCTGGTGGTCCATCACATTAATGACATTTACAATGATCTTGTTGAAGGTGATGTTGGCTTCTGAGTGGAGTATTGAATTGTTGATGCTAAGTTGTGATATAATAAAGCCACTTAGGACTCAGATTTCTGAAGTAAAATCTTCATTAAAAGAAAATATAGTAACATAAAGGCGGTACTTTTTTGTTTTCAGTGATCAATGCATGGCTATGACACAGTTTCAGCAAATATAGCTCCTGGTTTTATTTGTTAGATAAAGGATTACTAGATGGAGGTGATGGGCGGAACATCCTATGTGGTTATAATATGGGCCTCGAGTTCTACACTAGTAATCGTTTAGAGCACTATTTATTATATTTTGACTTGCATCTGATTTGTGTAGTAACAGAAAGTTTGATATCACTTGTAGAGTAGGTGATTTTAATGTTCCATATGGATAACTTATACATGTTTCTTTCCAAAATTTCCAGACAGCCCTTTGAAATTATCTATACCTAATTGAATATGGTAGGCATGGACATAACACTTTAACCTTATTTCATTATGTGTAGTGAAGATGTGACTTATTTGCAGTATGTGCATGTGTATTGGTTTCCCATGAACATCTGGGCTGCAGCGTTCTTAATTGCCCCTGCCCCGGGTTTTTTGTCATATAAAAGAAGACTAGACAAGGTTTTCAAACGCTCAAGAAATAAACTTGTTTGGGTACTTGAAATATTAAGTTTTGAACTGACACAAAAATGTTCTTGTTAACTTTATGCATGTATGTTTCTTTGCATATCTTATTTTGTATACAAACTATCTAGGGATGTCTTCATTGATATCTATAATCTAAGTGTATTATGTTCAGTCAAAGAGGACGTGATGGGAAGAAAAAAGAGGGGGTGAGTTGACTGCATAATTTGGAAACTTCAAGCCTAATGCTGCAAAGGAATCGGTAAGAGTAGGTCCAATGATTTGCTTTTGTATCTGTACCATCAGATTACAAGCCAGTTTGAATGGATACCAAGGATCTATATGATAACTATACAGGTTAAAGGCAGGGGATTCCTCTCTTCCCTTTTTATCCATTATATTGTTGGAAGTATCATGCAACATAGTGCAAAAGTTGAGTAACTGGGAAGGATTGAGGGCTTCATGGTGGAAAAGAGTGTGGAAGGGTGATGTTATGCATCATTGCAATCCCTTTGTCTTCTTTATAAGTGTGTTCTGGTTCATAATGCACTATGATAATGGTTACATTTAGTGAAGATGATATGTCTAATGTCTTAGCTGATAATTGGGTTCTTAAGTTGGTAAACTAGCTATATGTCTAGTGTCAGAATTTGACTATAACTGTCATGGCAGAACTTTCTTGTGGACATTAAAGGACCAACTTTGGCATTTTTGCCTATACTTGCATTTGAAGGTGGAACAAGGAGGAACATACCAAAATTTGAGGTATGATTTTTATTTTATTATTTTTTTGAAGTTAAGTATTGCATTGCATATTGAGTTTTGAATTTTCATTTCCTAGTAATGAAATATCAACTAAGAGGAATAACACTATATTTTTATACATATACGTGTCTTCGAACTTAATAAATTTGAATGCCATAATTAAGTTAAAAACAGCTTATACTTTTGTCAACATTGGAGGCTGTTTTTCAGACTATTTAGTGTGTTGTGAAAAAAAAATCCAAACTCAGACAATTATTTTTGGAATACATTGTCTCTCTTAAGTTGTATGATTGAAATTGGAAAGATATAAGTGTATTTTATATTCTTTCTGCAGAGGAAATTCATAATGTTACACTAGTGTAAATAATGTTTAATTAATATTTATCCAGCAAAGATGTATTATAATATTTTGGAATTCTTAATCTTTCTTCTTTCTGAAAAAATTCATTTTGAACATTTTATAACTTTATGTAAACCTCTTGTACATTTGTAACAACAGAAGCGTGTCACACTTCTGTGAAGAAACCTCAGGGGATACGATATTGAAATTATCCCTTATGCTTTTGTCATGTCATTTATTTTGTTGCAGTTTGAAATGGGACGTCAGGGAACCAAGAAGATGAATGTTACAAAAGATAAAGGCAAGCAGGTTGAGGAACTTCATGACAATAATCCAGTAAAACCCGTGAGGCCACCAAGTGATTTCATTGCGTACAGGTATATATGGCTTTATAGAAGGATTATTGTGTACATTTGGGGCTTTTAATTAGCTAAAAAACTCATGATAAAATCATAAGTCTATGTGATGCATCTAATCATATTAAATCATGGTAGGATTGACTTCGCACGCAAGCAAAAAACAAAGGGAAATGCATTAACAATGAAGGAGCTAAACATAGCCTCTAGAAATGCATGGAACAAACTGAGTGATGAGGAGAAGCTTGTATGGAAGAATGAAGCAGATATGAAGAAATATAAGGAGCTGATGAAAATCTACAAGGAGTCTATAGCAGACACGGGAAAAAGCATAAAAAGTGATGAAACGAAACAAGTAAGGACGTAGCATCAAATTTTATATTTTTTAAATTAAATGATTTAGAAGTTTCAAAGTGCAAGTGCAAGTATTGGGCTGTTATTTGTTAATTTTTATCAACATTGTTATATTGTTTTACAGGCATACAGGTTTAGGTGCACACCAGCTAAATTTTTAAAGCTTGTGGGGCGTATTGATGGGGCAAAAATAGCTGCAATAAAAGAAATAGGTTTTGGTGGATTATTGGAGATCCAATGCCACATCCTTCCAAGTATTATATGCATGTGGTTGGTGAATAATTTCAATCCAACTCACTCATATATACAACTTGAAGGTGGACGTGTACTGCCTGTAACATCAGAGGATATAGCAAAGCCTCTTGGAATTCCAGGTGAAGGGCCAGTGCCGGTTAAAGATACTAGAGATGATGGAATTGATAGCGAACCACATTATCCTAGGAAGAAGAAGTATAATTGGCATGATATAGAAGATGAGCTAATATCCATGGAGGTTGGGGATGAATTCAAGAGATTATTTGTTATTTTTGCATGTAAGTGCTTGCTTGCTCCAACAACACGAGTTGAAATTAAAGCCAATTTATGGGAGAGTTTACAATCAACTTCAGAAATAGCAAAATTTAATTGGGCTGAGTTCGTGAGAGTTGATTTATGCAAAAAATTGTTGAATATGCAAAGCAATGCCCACAAAAATGTTGGAGGTTGCATCCTATTTTTACTGGTAAGTTAAGAAAATCTCAACTATTGGGTGACTTACCTTATATTTGTTAATTATATGTAACAAGGATAAGCTGTTATTATTTTACAGCTACATTATTATGATCGAGTAAGTATACTCAATCATTGTGTTCATAGGATCTGCCCTGTAGCAAAAGCATGGACTGATGCTAATATAATGGAAAGAGAAACACTAGAATTGGGTGGTCTTGGAAAATTTGGCAAAGGAAAACTAGTAAGTATTGCTGAAACAATGATATTTTTATAATTTGAGTTAGTAAGACATTATGTTACACAACTAACTATTTTGTCAAACTTACAATATACTTTTTGGTCCACAAAAGTAGGGTCAAACAAAACGGACAGAGCAGAAGATGAGGAAGAGGAACCTACTGAGCTTCTATCGGATGTGATTATCCAGATGGTGAATAATGGACATGGAGATATTGTTGTAAGATGATAAATTAAATCTAATACGAATTCAAATATGTCCCAAGTTATACCAATATAAGGATTAATTGCATTAATTTTTTTATATTCAGGTTCATCTAGCGACTCTATATACAAAAGCTGCAAATGCCGAGCAGATAGCGATTGAGTGTCAACAGAGTGTAATGAATATAGCAAGTATCCTTTGCTCGCAACGTAGTGCCATGGCATTATCTTCCCAGCCAGCCGTTAGATCACAAGAAAACAGGTAAAAAAGCGAATGATCCATCATGAGAAGGCAACGGTTGTTATAAAGTCTGATACAGATAAATCTGAATATGAAAACGACCAAGACGAGACATGTGTTGGGGATAGGAATGATGATTTTGGTGAAAATGTGGCAAATGAGCCCGAAGATAAAGAAAAAAAAGATGATGCCAAGGCAATTGCAGAAGTTTATTGCTTGGATGCAGGTATAACTTCCCCATCAGGAGCTGCAGTAGAGCAACATTCGCTATGTGCTGCAACACAATGGAAGGGTCGGTCTAGATATGAAAAAAGAGAGCGCGAAGGCAAGTTATATATGTTATAGTTAAAATTCAGCTTCCATTTGTTATTGCACTTTGTAAATGATATGAAAATTGATCATTACAAAAACATTTGCTATTCTTGACTTAATATAGATGCGGAAGATGGTCGAATGCACAAGACATTGCGGACGACAAGGCACAACACCCTCATTAGGTCTACTGATTATCAGCTCCAAATCCAGGTTACTTTGACACAATGTCAAAGGAAGATTGCGAATTTCACATGGCAAGACACAGGAGATCAGAGGTAAAATCATTAGTGTGTGATAATATTCGGAGTTATATGCCTTTTTTATTCAAAAACTGTTGATAATTCAACTTAACATTATTGACTCAAATGTTCAATGTAGTGAGATATTAGTGGATATGTTCGAATTTAGCCTTAATCGAAAAGATATGCAATCCTTGCGGGAGAACCAATGGGTATCAGATAGCGTAAGCCAAGAGAAAAATCAAAATTTTTTTATTTCACTAATTTACTTATTGTAGTTTTGGAGATAGTTTCACCTTTTGGAATGCTAAAAAAATTTTGCACTTATACTCACCTCTCTTTTAGGTCATTGATATGTATGCAAAGTTGTTGAATATGGATGCGAGTAAAAGACTGATGAAGGTTAAGTGGTACATTGTCGAGCCATGTGTTGTTGTGAGTATAATGGTCAACTTTTTTTTAACAACCAACTAACACCATGCATATACAGTTGCACTCATTGTTAGTTAAGTTAGAAAATTTGATTCCAATATTTAATAAGTAGTATTGGTTCCAGTGTTGCAATTTCTAACTATCCTATAAGTTTCGATCCAATTTCATTGATTTGTTGGGCAGGCTGCCATTCAACGTGTGGACCGATTTGAGAAAATGTCTGATAATGACTTATATTCGCAATTGAACAAGTGGTTCAAAATAAGAGCAGATAATGCTTCAAGTCTAGCAAATGCCGATATTGTGATCAATCTCTTATAACTCCTGGATCAAATATCTTTTACTCTATATCAAATGTGTTGCATTTGTAAAGTCTAACACGTTATATTTTTAGATACTGGTTCCAGTGGTGAACAAAAATCACTGGTTTGTATACTCATTTGATGTTGCACAAGGCATTGTTCATCTCCTTGACTCACGAGTTGATTCGTCACGGGTTCGAGAGACTAACATCTTGCGACGATTGGTGAAATCTAAATACTATTTATAACTTGCATTTTTAATAGATCTGTTCCATGGCTTTAAATTATGTAACTAGTGTGAAAGTGTAATCAGTACAATTATATTTGTATGTTGCAGAAGCGAACCTTGGGATTAATAATGGCAAAACAATTTGATAGGATGGTGGATTTCAAAGAATTTATATTGCAAGTTGCAGATGTGCCTCAACAGTCTCCACACAATAGGTATATGTACTGTGAATAAGAGTTTATTTATATTCTATCTTGGAATATAATTAAAAACTAAGTTATATTATTAGTAGGTACATAATGTAGGTACATTTAGAATTTTTTGACCTTTTGCAGTAGATAGGGTTGGCACACCACGGTTAATATATAACTTCTTATACTCAATTAAAGAGATGTAAATTGTCTAAATCTAGTCTGCATTGATTGCAATTGTCAAATTACTATCTAATATAAAAAGAAAACAATCATTTTAGTATTACATTGATCCAATCTAGTTCCAAAAGGGTCGCAAGATTTGACATCTTAGCATACATATTCATGGAATGCAATTAGCTTCTACCCATTTATATCGTAGGTAGTTGCACTTCTTCGTCGCTTATATGTATGGGAGTACTGCTCTTTGACCTTTCCACAGAAGCCACAATGGGGGTTTGGCAATCATTGAAACAAGCAATAAATTATTTAAATCAAATATTCAGTGTTCATAAAAACCTCTCCACACAATAGTCTTGTAGCAAGGTACGAATACTTCTAGATAATAACTTTAAATAAATTTTTTCAAAGAATTACTGACCATTAAGAATTCGGTGAATGAGCTGTACTTTGTCTTCCTCACAGGATCGTTAGGAATCAAAAGTGAAAGATTGTTACAATCTTCAATACGGATGTTATGAGCAGCCAGTATTTGGGGAGTGATTCCAGGTTCACCGGGCTAGATTTCAGTATTGTACTGAATAAGATACTGTAAATTTGTCCAAAATCTTGATTATCCACACAAATGCAATATCTCTCACTTACCATCCTACAAGACTGCATATCTGAGTGAATAACTGGGGATGATCCAAAATTTGATTCACTAAATGACTGTTATCACGAGTGGCACATTACATTAGTTGCAAAGTCATACTAACACTGTGTAAAACAGCAAAATAACTAATTCGTAAAAAATAAATACACATTGTGTCCAAAATTTAAGATGCTATGATGTACGGAAATTATGAAACAAATGTGTACAAAATGTATGACAACGTGTTCAACTGAATTAACAATATGTAAACAAAGATCAACCGACAATAATCTAAAGAAAATCCAAAATTCAGTGCATACGTCACCATAAATGAATACACTGTAAAGTTATACTACAAGCTTATGGGTTACTATGAATATAACACATAACCAATGCATTAAAATTGAAGTAACTATGCAACAGATTTGCAAAGGTCTTTTTGTAGTGTGTACAAGATAAAATACATCGTGTACCAGATTAATAACACGATGTCAATACAAAGTAACCAGTGGTACATGGTATGTATAAATGCGTACAACATATATATCAGTTGGTATACATAAAACAACAACATGTAAATGCTATTAAATCAAGAGATCGCTGTAATGTGTACCAACTAAAATACATCGTATACCAGAATAATAACACGATGTCAAAACTAAACAACGGGTGATAAATAATTGTAACTTGTACGGTTTAAAAAATAAATGTGAGCAAATAAATGAATAATATGTAAACAATTTTATGCAAAGGTGTAATCATATGTTCAAATACAATAATGATATTTCGAAACAAATTAACCAGTGGTACATGGTATGTATAAATGCGTACAATATATATATATCAGTTTGTACATATAAAATAACAACATGTAAATTGTGAGGACTTGCAAATTCCTTATATTTTCTTAAAAATGCTCTTTTATTTGAAAATTATTATTTTATAATAACTCTACTACCCAATCACCCCACAATAAGTGTAAATGAATATAGAAGTAAGGGTTTCGTTGTCCGTTTTCCAGTTAGAGCGAATTAGGGTTTTCACATTTTTTCGTAGTGTGATTTTTCGGTACAGACTGGGGATCAAATTTGGTAGGTAAGAGTGAATTTTGGATGAGGAAATATTATATGATTAGAAGTGATAATAACAAGATAGTGATTAGAAGGTAAAAATCCTAGTATACGCGATTTAAGAAAAAAATCGGCTCAAACCGACGGGTATCGATCACTACCGATTGAACCCACCACTTCCTTACCACCACATACCCTTGATATTTGTGCAAAATATCCCCCCCTTATCCTCAGCCATGTGACCGAAAATTGTGGCCAAAATGCAAGGAAAAGAAAGAGAAAATTTAGTTGGTCTTGGTGGTGACAAGTGTCAACCACCTATGGTGTCTTGACCAACCATTGTCTTGCCTTCTTATCTCTCATCTTGCTTCATTTTCCCTCATTTGTTTTCTAGTTTGGCCGAGAGCAAGGAGAGGGAAGAGAGTGAGGAGTGTTTTCAATCTTCTACCTTGAATCCAACCATTTGAGTGCAACCAAGAAAAAAACTAAACCGATTAATCACTAGTTGGAAGCTTGGGAAGTTTAAGGAACCAAGAATTTCAAGGAGAGGTGAAGGATCATCCTTGCAAGCTTGTGTCTTGAGGTATAATGGTTGATCAACCATTCTTTCTCCATTAATCATGATTAAGTTTGGTATTAATGTTGGTATTGTGTTTGTGATGCTTGTTTCAAGTGATTTTGATGATTGAATGAATGACTTTTGAGTTAGGGTTTCTTGTGGGTTAGGTGTTGTATGATGCATATATGTGGTATATGATCTTGTAAAGGTGATAGTAGTGGTAGTTTCAAGGTGAAAATATGAATTATAGCTTAAAATAATACAAATTCCAGATTTCTGGAAAATTTAGCTTAAGTTCTGCCCGATTCTATTTCATCATTTTAGAGGCTGAATTAGGCTTGCTACAAAACAGGAAAGTTGTAGAGAATGATATTTTATGGTTATCTACAAAATTTCAGTTCAATCGGATCAATGTAGCTTGTGAAAAGACGAAAATACCCCGACTGCCATAGGAGTAAAGTCAGTGGACAGTTTTGACAGTACACTAAGTTAGTTGAGTTTGTTCACCTTGATACGTACTGAACTAGCTTTTAGTCAAAACATAAAAGTTTTAGTACTTTGTCTTAGATTTTTAACGCCTCCAAGAACGTCTTAAGCGGACTTTGGTAGCTTGAGATATGTCCATTTAAATGTAGTACGGTTAATTAGCCGGTTAGTTAGAATTTGGTTCTGTGAATTGGGAATTTGACTGGGTTACACTGGAATTTGGACTAAGTGATCTTCATCAAAATTGTAGCCCTATGTCTTAGCTTCGAAACGGTATAAATTGCATTCCAATCCGATAAGCGTAGCTTTGGTTGTGTCTATTACGTAAAAACACGTCAAATCTGTCTTTTGCTAAACCTCATTTCCGTACATGTCATTAGCTTGATTTTGTACTTGTATTACCTTGAGCCTATTGAACGGCTATTGAAATGAGATTGTTTGTGTGTAACTTTGGGTTTGATTGAGGAAAAGAATGAATCCATAAATAGCTGAAAAATAGGAAAATACAAAGGGCGTGCTGCCCAAATTTACGTTCAAGGGCTAGGTAGACATACTTGCAACTTGAGTAAGGGTTAAGAGTGATTACTTCTTGAACCATCTAGGATATTTGCATGTTCTTTTACCGAGGTATATCAGTAAGGATTTGGCCGAACTTGTACCCTTTAGAAATAAAATAATGACTGCTCGGAATACGTTTTCCTTGCACTTTTGACTCAAATGACATTTCCAAGTATAATGTTACAAAGTTATATAGTTTGAAAAGCGAGCGAGTGTTTCACGAATATTCTCCAAGTGAATTTCAATTTCTTGATTCTTATTGAACGAAACGTTTAAGTTTCGAACTTTAGTTACTTTTAAAAGTTCTTAAACAATGTTTTATCGCAGATTTGGACTCCGCACACAGAGTAATACCCGAACGTAACTCGTAAAGGCACCGCATTTTGGGTGAGTGCTTCCAAATACCTGGTTGACCTGGACACTTATTCACAATACTTGTACATAATTGATATGAGATTTGTTGATCGGGCAAGAGTGTACTTTATCGCACTTGCCCTAACATGATCTATACTTGTTTATAGTTGCAATTAACTTGATATACATGTACTTAATTTGTAAGTATGGAGCGGAAGTATATACCACATTCAATCCGAGTGGGAGGTGCCTCTCATTCCCGTCTCCATACTTTTATCTTAATTCCGTCGATTGGAGAGGTTATCTCATCGATTTCTTGGGGACCCAAACCCCATTGGCTAATTAATCGAGTCGAGTTGGCAAGGGTTTGGTCGATTAGATAACGAACCATGGGTCGTTAGTTATGTCGAGTGGAGTGATATCTTCTCGACTAATCGGTATACTCGAGTATTACCACCCGTGTTTATTGAGGATTTTGGGCCCAGTAGGGGGTGTGAATGGTGGGTGGAGAGTAGTGTAAGTGGTGCTCTACTGGATTGGTTACTTACTTGAAGGTTGACGGAGTGTCAACTATTACTTGATCAAACTCTGGTGATGTGATGGGAATTTGGCTCCTGAGAGCCATCCGTATCCTTATACTTTGGAATAATTATTATTTATTGGATTATTGTTTCTTCTGAAAAAACTTTTACACTCACTCACTTTGAGATTTGCTACTTGAAGTATTATTGTTCACTTTTATGAACTTTTGATGCCCATTAACTTGTTACGTTGATATTCGTACTTTCAAAATGGTCAATTTGTTATTTGGAATCTCACTGAGGGTTTAACTCATTCCACGCCATTTGTTTTCCTTACAGGGGGTACGAGCGAGGCATGAGACATGTACAGATTAGCGTAATTTAGTTGTTTTGAATTTTGAATATGTACTCACGCTAGTACCCGACTAGGGTTGATTGTACTCGATTTGTAAACACTTTGGAATATTTTAGTGTGTAGAAGTTTTGTATCTGGATTTGAGTATCAATGTATTTATTAAGTGGATGTGTTATTCATTTTCTATGGATATACGTTCTTAGTTTTTTTCTTGAGATACGAGTGAGTGAGTCCTGGCGAAAGTTGGGCAAGCGGTCCGCTAAACCCTGGGGTACGCCCTAGGGGGAGGTGGGGCCGTCACATAAATGCTATTAAATCAAGAGATCGCTGTAATGTGTGCCAACTAAATACACCGTGCACCAAAATAATAACACGATGTCAAAACTAAATAACGGGTAAAAAATAATTGTAACTTGTACGATTTAAAAAATAAATGTGAGCAAATAAATGAATAATATGTAAACAATTTTATGCAAAGGTGTAATCATGTGTTCAAATAAAATAATGATATTTCAAAACAAAGTAACCAGTAGTACATGGTATGTATAAATGCGTACAACATATATATCAGTTTGTACACATAAAATAACAACATGTAAATGCTATTAAATTAAGAGATCGCTGTAATGTGTACCAACTAAAATACACCGTGCACCAAAATAATAACACGATGTCAAAACTAATAAACAACGGGTAAAAAATAATTGTAACTTGTACGATTTAAAAAATAAATGTGAGCAAATAAATTAATAATCTATAAAATATGTATAAAAAGTGATATTACTATGTCAAAAATAAATAACATGTGATGAACATCCTGTCACTAATATACATACCTTAAGAACCAATGTGTACAAGTAAAACATTAATTTGTAACATCGAAATAACGAACAGTGAACTATAATGCACATTATGTAAAGTATAAAAATAACTACTTACTGCCACAGAATTTCGATGACAAACATTTACTTGATGTTTGGCTTTAGATGGGTTGATAGGATTCTGATGACTGACAAGACAAAAATATACAACAACTGAGTTGGCTTATGATAGTAGAGTCAATTGAAATGATATAGTTATGTAAGTCAAAAAATAAGATTCAGTACTAACCATCTCAGGAGTGCTTGCCTTGGACAATGTAGAGTTCTTCTTTTGCCTATGAAGCTTGTCCACCCAACTACGCAATACTTTCTTAGGTTTTTTGCCACTTCGTTTCTTCAAACCCGTTGGAGTCACAAAGTGGCCAGTTGCATTCTGCACCTGTATTTCCTTACATAGATCCATTGAGCCATTATTCTGTGTTATTTCATCTATTTCTCCACAAAATAGCATTTCGACTCTCTTTGACAATTTAGACATTACGCTACTGACTAACTTTGTAGCGGCTTCTGACATGGCAGCCCTGGTAGCAAGTCTTACCATTTCGGGTGCTAATAGTCGATATCGATGGGAAATAGAGAAAGACGGATCTGATGATATTTCTCTACCCTTGCAATTGACGCTGCCTCCTGACCTTGCCTTCTTTGTCCACCTCTTTATCACATATTGATCAGAAATAAATTTTGTTCCAACCATATCATACACCTTTAAAGCATGTGAGCATAGGATTCCTTCTTACTCAAAAAGATTACAATTACAAGTAATGTATTTAGTTATTGGATTCAATGTCACTCTTCTCACCCTTTCTCCATCATACTGACTAACACTGTATTCCACATGCATTGCAGTATGCTTTTGGTCCAAGATCACCATTGTAGTGGATTCATCGTATTCATTCTGGAATGCAACAAACATGTATGGAGAGTATATAGAAGCTGCCTGGATCAGTACGGGAGTCTGTTGCAATCCCAACATTGGCAGCTTCTGTCGACTGTGATACTCAGCTCTTAGTTCATTATATCTTTTTTCATCCACAACTCGATTAAAATATTTGAAAAATTGAACCAGATCATGATCAAGTTTCAGATATTTTTTATGGAAGCATTTAGACTCTCACTTAGTTGGGTGCTACGCATACCTGCAGTCCAGGCGCTTTTCATGAAGCATTTTGCCTATTTCTTTCGACATGCATAAATGCCACACAACCATTCATTTGTTTCGAGCTTGTGTTCTTTTAGCATTGCATCCCAGGCCATGATAAACTTATTTTCATCTTCTATCTCATACATACATTCAACAAATCTATATGGAAGATTACTACCATCCTTGTAATAGTTCCCAAGGTGTTTCATGAAATTGACTCTAATATGAAAAGTGCACAGACCATGGTATGTTGAAGGCATAACAGCCGAAATTGCAGCGGCCATGGCTGCATCCTGATCTGTGAAGATGGTTTTTGGGTGTCTTCCACAAACTGCCTCTACAAATGTACCAAACACCCACTTGAATGATTCAATGGTCTCATCATACAATAGAGTTGCTCCAAAAATAACCAATTGTCTAAATTGATTGAATCCCACAAATACGCTTAATGGTCTGTACTCCTTATTAGTTTTATATGTGGTGTTAAATGTAACCACATCCCCAAAATAGGTATAATCCATCAGCATTGATGCATCAGCCCAAAATATATTTGTAATTTGTTCTTCACAATTAAGCTGCTCTGCGTGGAAGAATGACGGATTTTTCAATTTTTGTTCTTCAAAGTATCGTAGCATTGCACCAGCTTCACCATACTTTAATCCCCTCTCTCTTTTTGTTCGTAGATAGCGTTTTAAGTCATCATGAGTGTAGCCAATATTGCCTAATCCACCTGCCTCTTTTCCCATGAATTCATGGAATTGTTTCAAGGATATTCCTGCATCATTTGCAATCTCAACTTGGGTTTCTTGAAAAATACTTACTTTTATTTGCGAACGCATCATATGAGCACATTTTGAAATGTGTAGTGTGTGATTATGCTCGATTACCAGATCTCAAACCTGATACTTCATTGTTTCTCTGTTCAAAATTATCCCCATTTTAGCTTAACATCCGGTTTTTGTTTCAGCCCGAGTTCTCTTTGATTTTACATCTCCTTCGTACCGTGGTTTGAAACCGTCTTTGCAACATGTGTACCTTCTCGATGTAACTACACCGTCTTTATCCTTGTTCAAGTAGTCTTTCCGAACACTGAATCCAATAACTAATCCGTACCTATTGTAGAAGTTGTATGCCTCATCTTCTGACTGAAACTCCATGCCGATCTTAGGACACAATGCTTCTTCCATTGTGCTGTATTCGAAAAAAGCATTTTTTGCTATTATTTTTCAGGACAAACAATTATATTTATTTTTTATTTCTTTATTCACATCATAAGCACTTAATTATTTGTATTCACATATGTGCATACTTTATAACGACGTGTACACACCTTACAACATTTTGTAAAATAATTTTTATGGATATGTATCTTCTCTGTAATAGGTAATCACATAACTCTAATAATTTGCATAGCATATTTCACTTTATAATATATACATTTCAAACAAATATTATAACCAATTTGTGTATAATATCAGTATTTACAAACTTTACAATCATATGTACACACTTTATAACAATGTGTACACCCTTTATATCAACTTGTAACATAACAAATGCATGTATGCCTCATACACTTTTACATAGCGTAAGGTTTGACAGAATTCTCAAAATCTATACATTGTCATCTATACCGTTTGTGTAGTTATTTAAGTTGGTCACATTGTTAAGTTATTTTTACGCTTATGTTATTTTATTTGTACACATCCTCATTTATATTTTAAAATTTTGTACGGGATCTTTATTGTACAAACTAGCCATTCTCTCTAAAAGGATAATGACATACTTCTTATAATTTTTAAATCATGCTTCACTAAATAACACATTTATTACAATCAAATTACATATAATATTAGCGTTTACCTTGGACAGAGTTCACCATGCAGTAAATTTCAGATGGGCCACTCACAAGTCTCAGTTATGCATTTGTTACTCGATGAATATCTATCTCAGTCATCCACTACTTAAATCGGCGTGTATTGTTGCTGTAGCGGATCTTCACAATTATATTGTGCACACCTTAGACAAGATGCCCGTTTTGATAGGATTTATTTAAGAGTTGGAAGAGAAGAAGACAAAAATTTATGTCTATGTTATGCGAAATAATTTGTTGAGAGGGGAAAAACAGAAGGAGCTTATTGAGAGGAGAAGAACAAAAGGAGCTACAACGACAATGTATTGTATTCAGAGAAAATCCACTACCGCCATTTTCTTCCCACATCTTTTTAAGTTGAAAGAGTTTTAAACCTCGCCGATCGTACCAAAAGTTGATTTTCAAATTTTGATTTTGAATTTTTCATACCCTTAATGGCTAGACCAAACGGAGTTAAAAGTTAAGCTTGTATTAAAGCAACAATCCTCTACACTCATCTCCATTTTGTTCGATTTCGTTTTGGCTGTTGATGATGGGCCCACCACATCTTGGCCATGAAAAGTTTATGAGCGGTTGTTTGACAACCGCTCCAGCCCCTCGTCCACGAGTAACTGGTGAAGCAACAACAGTATACGCCAGTGACTTCTTTGGGGCTGCTGTATAATTTTTATACTTTATCATATATATATATATCTAATAATGATTTAATTGATCATTCTTTTAATTTTTAGTAAAAACAAAAATTGAATGTGAAATAATGTTAAATATTGCTTTGATCTTTTGAATTCATTTATCCATATTTGATATTACATAAAATCTAAATTAATTGCTATTTTTCTTTATAAACAACATACAATATGTAAAAAAAAAAGAAGTAAACTGATAGAAGAAATAAATATTTTCTCGTAATAAATTGATGATAACAATGGATCATTTTCCCACAACAAAATATCACATTATTCAATTTATGATATAGGTAGATATATATTATGTTTTATGACACTATAACTAAGGAGATTCACCCCCAACCCCAGCTTTCCCGGTCTCTCTTCATCATACTATTCTCCTATCTCAACTATCTTCCTCTTATCCAGCAAGAGATATAATCCCAAGTATGTTCAGTTCCGCAAGAGATATTATCTAGTAATATAGGTATTAGTCAAAGCTTCATTCATTCATATAAATCTACCGGCAGCGTGTGCATTGGTTGATTAGTTCAATGATAAGTTGAAAATTGAAATCATATCCTCCAAGAAATTATTTGAATTGTGTCTTGTGTTCTCTATCTATTACTAATTAGCTATAATTAAGCTCATTACTAATTGAATTTATTTTATTTTTGCAGTGAACGGAGCAGGGGATGGGATGGGGGAGCATCATTTTAAGGCAGGGAAAAATAATGCCCCCACCTTCCCTTAACCTCCGTCTCAATGGATAGGATTTGGATTCGATTCCTTTGATTCAGATCCAGATTCATTAAATTTAATTAAACCTTGATCGAGATCCAAACCTGTATGGGGTATAAAAAAATAAATCCAAACCCAGATCCAAGATGCTAAAGTAATCTAATGTGTATCTATTGTATTTTTCTAAACATGCTAAAGTAAAAATATATTAAAAATATATAGATTTAAAAAAAATTTAAACACCATCCAATTTTATTTTTAAATAATAAAATTAATATTCAAGAAGTTGAATACAATATTATGAATTGATAAAAATAACTATTATTGACTGCTTCTATTTATTTTTCAAACTTTAACTGTATGTACTAATTATAATGATAACTCGAATTAGGTTGAAAAAAGAAAACAATCATGAAGTTTTAGTGTATTTGATTTATGATCATAGAATTTTAGAATATTTTATAAATTTACTAATATATATATATATATATGTAATTTAGTTATATATACATGGGTCAGTGTGGTCACTTTCTAAAACCAAACAAGATTCAGACCAAATTATGTATTAAATTCATCCTCCAAGGATTAACAATAAGGATATGCATGTGACCAAAATAGCAATATGATTCTCACTCTCCTTTTTTACAATTTGATTGTGGACCAAAGTAAGTGTCCTCGTTGGATGGAACAACCATTCAAATTGTCTACAACAAAAAATAATGCTGGAGGCCCCAGCATTCAACCAGAGAACGTGGTGCCCCAACAACTACAATAATTGAGAAAGTTACGGTTAAAATGCCAAAGCAAAAGCTTACAACCTTGTCAGAGAAGAATTGTACGTCTATGCGGAGTAATTATTAATGCTCCTTTCTTCATAGCCAATTATACTAAGCCTAGATAATATTACCAGTTCCTGGCTGCAAAAAACCTTCCAAACCATCTTGATCTCAACACTGAATCCAGGGCAGAAAAAATGGCCGACCCTGTTACCGGTGCAATAGTTCAGGTCGCCTTGCAAACGGCACTGTCTCTTGCCTCTTCTGGGATTGGGAGTTTACTTGGGTTCAAGAAGGATGTGGACAACATTAGACAATCTCTTACCTTTATCAATGCTGTCTTGGCTGGTGCCGAGGAAAGGCAACAAAACCAGGGCCTGGCAACTGAGGAAAGGCAACAAGACCAGGACCTGACAACTAAGGAAACTCAAGAATGGTTGAAGAGCCTCGAAGAGTTTGCTTATAATGCTTGCAATGTGTTGGATAAGCTCCACTATGAATCTCTTCGTCACAAGGTGGAGTCCCGAAACCCACACAAGCTGAAGGTACGCTGCTTCTTCTCCTTCTCTAAGTTTAATCCAATTCTTCGCTGGAGAATGGTTTGTAAGTTCAGGGACATCAAACTTAACTTGGATAACATCTATAACCAAGCCAGGGTATTCGGGGGGCCATTGGTGAGAGGTGGCCTCCCTGCTGCTGTTGGAGACACAAGAAGTCGGCAGCCCACCGACTCTGTTCCTCCTGAGCTAATATTTGGAAGAGACAATGACAAATCAAATATATTGGAGATGTTGTTGGACGAATCTAATCATAAGTTTGTATCCGTTATTCCCATAACTGGCGAGGAAGGGTTGGGCAAAACAAATTTGGTTAAATCAATATACAACCACCAGAGAATGGGGAAATTTGGCGTAAAGTTGTGGGTTTGTGTATCGAAAAGAGTTTCAATAGAGGAGCTTTTCAAACTCATTTTATTGCAATTGACGGTAGAAAAGGTTGACAGGGAAAATAGGAATGGCATCGTTGGAAAAATTGGGAAGCAACGACGGGGAAAAAGATTTGGCGAGGACGATAGGAATGCCATTGTTCAACAAATTGGAAGTCAATTACAGGGAGAAAGATATTTCCTAGTCCTTGATGATGTGTGGGATGATAATCCGAAATTGTGGGATGACTTATTCATCACCTTGGAGAGAATCAATCAAACCATTGGAAGCTGGTGTCTTGTCACCACTCGTTCAGATTCAGTGGCACGTAGTGTGTCTGTTGCTTTGAGGAGAGAACATGAAGTCTATGCCTTAAGAAAACTACATGATGAGGATTGTTGGTATATCCTATTAAAGAAAGCATTTGGAGAAAAAGAAGCACCTGATGAACTGGAAAAAATTAAAGAGAGAATACTTCAAAGATGTGATGGTCTACCAGCTACTGCATGTCTAATTGGACTTCAGTTACGTAACTTAGATTTAAACAAAAAAGAGGAGTCGGGATCAATTTTGGATAAGCTTTTGAGTTTGGATAATTTATCATCTCCATCCATTAAGAAGTGTTTTGCATATTGTTCTATGTTTCCCAAGGATACTAAGATAGAACGGGATATGCTAATCGAACTTTGGATGGCAGAAGGTTTCCTCCCAACATGTCCTAATAACCAAACGATGATGGAGGAAACTGGAATGAATCATTTGAGAATTTTATGGGAGAGTTGGTTGTTGGAAGAAATAAGACATGATTTTTGGGAAGTATATTATAAGATGCAAGATGTGGCGCACAAACATGCAAAGTCAATGTCAAAGTCTACCAAAGTCATTAGTGATAGGGAGACTGGTAATGTACACAATGGTGATCTGGTTCGTTACCTTGCAGTAGACTCACTTGGAGAAGACAGAGAAGAACTTTTTAAGAGTCTAAAAACTTCTTTGCTTCATACATTGTTTGTAAGGAGCAGTAGCTCATCTGGTGATGTGCTAATGAAGTTGAAGAATTTGTAAGTTCTGAATCTGTCTGGCGTAAGAAATCAGAAGCTACCAAAGTCAATTGGCAAACTGATACACTTGCGGTTTATTGACTTTTCAGATTCTGGAAGTGGGACTTTGCCCCAATCTGTTTGTAAACTCTATAATTTGCAGACGCTGAGGCTAAATAGTGGTACTCTTAAAGCTCTTCCGAAGGAGATGAGCAATTTGATCAGCATGAGGCATCTCCACTATCAGAATCCTGATGATAAATTTGAAATGCCATTGAAGATGGGGCGGCTGACTTGCCTTCAGACACTAGAGTTCTTCAACGTCGGTCGAAAGAAGGGTCGACGAATTGGAGAGCTTGGATTCTTGAAAAACCTCAAAGGCAAATTAGTTATACGCAATCTTCAATTGGTGAAGGATAAGGAAGGAGCTGAGGAAGCAAAACTATCTGAAAAGGCAAATCTATTTAGGCTGTATCTTGAGTGGGCCCTTGATCGAGAAGGCGACGACTACAACGACGTAGATGTGTTGGATGGCCTTCCACCCCACCCAAATTTGGAGGAGCTGAAAATTCAAGGTTTTATGGGGGATCAATTTCCTCAATGGTCAATGGATTTGCCAACAACACTCCCCAAGTTAGTGAGTTTGGGATTTGAAAACTGCAACAGATGCACAGAACTTCCTCCTCTGCAAAACCTCACGTCTCTTAAGGAGCTGACGATTCATAAATGCGGTGGGTTGACGAGTCTGCGCGGTGACATGCTGCAGTCTTGTACCTCTCTCCAGAAGCTTCGGGTGATTGAATGCCACAATCTTACCTCCTTTCAGCCTGATTTGCAACACACGCCTTCTCTCTTAGAGGTGGAGTTACGGGGATGTCCCAATCTGGAGGAGTTGAAAATTCGAGGTTTCATGGGGGATCAATTTCCTCAATGGTCAATGGATTTGCCAACAACACTCCCCAAGTTAGTGAGTTTGGGATTTGATAACTGCAACAGATGCAGACAACTTCCTCCTCTGCAAAACCTTACGTCTCTTAAGGAGCTGACGATTCATAAATGCGGTGGGTTGACGAATCTGCCCGCTGATATGCTGCAGTCTTGTAGCTCTCTCCAGAAGCTTCGGGTGACTGAATGCCACAATCTTACCTCCTTTCAGCTTGATTTGCGACACACGCCTTCTCTCTTAGAGATGGAGTTGTGGGGATGTCCCAATCTGAAAACTAGTACGACGCCCCGAGGATTTGGTTTCCTCACTGGTTTAAGGACACTTTCAATTGGTCCCTTCTCAGATGATGATGAAGAAGAAAATTCTCTGGTTTACAACAAATTTGATTGGTCTGGATTGACATCCTCCTCCTCCTCCTCCTCTTCATCCACACTTGAGGTACTAAAATTACGTGGGTTGCCACACATGAAGACTCTGCCAGGTCAGCTCCGAGATTTGACCACCCTCAAATCACTAGCTCTACATGACTTTGGTGAAGTAGAAACCTTACCCGATGCCATAAGTTGCCTCGCCAATTTAACATATCTGTCTATTGATGGTTCTCCACTATTAAAGGAAAGGTTCACTTCTCAGAGCAGCAGCCCCGATGAGTGGTCCAAGGTTCCTCCTCGTATTCAAAACATAAGCATAGATGGTCAACCGTTAGTTCGTCAATAAATCAAATCCCAATGCTTCTTCTCAATCATGTAAGATTGCTTCTTCTCTATTTCTTTTTATTCACCTTACAATCAATCTCTTTGTCGTTTTGAGATATGCCTTCTCTTCTCCTCCTCCTCTGATTATCCATCTCGTGAAAAAAACAAGAGAGTTGAATTCCCAGTGGTTATTCTTCCCAATTTTCTCTCCTCCCTTTTTCTTGTCCTATTGTATCAGTAATTAGCATATCTTATATGGTTGAAAACATTAGTGCTCTTCATTTTCCCCCTCTTAACAACTTAATACTCTGTAACCATGAATTAGCATGAAAACAAGCCACTGTTCCGACTTTTATCTCTCAGTATAACAGCAAGTGATGGCCCAATTTATTGAATGTCTGCGTTATATTTTCTAAACTAGCTAGCATCTGAATGCATAAGATTTTCATGGGTCACCCAAAGATGTACGCATAAACAAGTGGTCAACCAAATCAACATAAAACCTCAGAAAAAACTCTTCAAAATTGAGATTCTACAGGGGAAAAATGGCTGCTTTGAAATTTAATCTCTTGAAGATACTTTTCTTGTTTCATGTTCCCATCACATACAGCAGTAGCACACTTCTTTTATCACAGATTTGGACCTCCAATTCATACCAGCAACTCTTGACCTTGCTCCTTTTCCAGTTCCTGCCAAGTGGATTATGATTGTCTATTGCATGCAAAACTAAAGTAAATTCTTGTTGTATTTAATCTTCCTCAGCACCATACATATCGCTGATATTAAATTATTTTTGCTGTGATTGTGTTACAAATTGCCCACCGTTTTTTCAGGTTATGAGTTGTAATTACTTACTTCCTGCTTGGAACAAGAGTAGACTAAGAGTAGGGCAAATTGTACACGTGACTGCTTATTTATTTAGCTTAAAAGCCAACAAGACACAGATTTTGGCTTTTCATTGGATTGACTGAACTATTTGAAATATCTTGCTCACTACATACTGTCTAAGATCGAATTTTCTATTTTCCAGTGACCTTAGGCTCAAAGCTCAACTGGAAATCTACAATGGCTGGTAATTAATAATTACAGAGCATGCATCTTTGAGAATTGTGTTGAACCAGATCCTGTTTCAGTTAGACTGAAATGTTTATGTTGGCACTCTTTTCTTTCATCTTGGTGCCTTAGTTAGCCAACGCCTGATGTCCTTATCTTGGGAGCTTGCACACTCTCAATGTGCCTTTTTAATCATGAGGTGCAATTGTCCAAACTAACATGCTATAACACTGTGCATTTGCTTATTTTTTCCAGGCTTCTTATCTTTGAAACTAACTGACGCTAAATTACAGAAGTTGTAGGTCTGGATTTTGATTGCTCAGTGACTGTAACTGGCCCGTACAAGCTGCTGGCCAAAAATTTCTTGCCCCAACTTATCTGGAGTACTTTATGAAACCATCATTACCATGGCCTTCTGATGATCATTATTGGCATCTTGTTGGCAACAGAGCTCGTATTAGAGTCACACATTAACCATTGGAGTTTTTGCCAACTTTCAAGAGTAACACTGAGGTTAGCACATTTATTTTAACCAAATAAATATTTGTGTATGGTATCAAGTCTTATTACCTGCTCATTATTGTTAGGGTGAAAACTAACAAAAAGAAACTCTTACTTTCTGTAAGATTTCCAGCTCAAAAACGTAATGGAACTTCTTGTTCAATCTTATTTATAATGCAGGCAGCATGCTTTCTTGGGATTTTTAAATCTGAGCTCATCCAACTCAGGTACTCACCACCATTAACTGTGAAAAGTTTTATTTACTTATTTACTTGCTAGAAACAAATAATGTGTTATATTCTGGAATAAAGCGTCAGATGAATGTATGTCCCAGCACAGAAATATGTGGGTTTGCTAACATAGAAAGATTTCAGACCATTTAAATTGTAGATTTTTTCTCCTTTTTTCTGTAGGAGAACATACTCCAGTGAAACTCTTAAGAAGAATTTTATTTATTGCCTTAGTTGAGGTGATATATGTATTGTGACAAAAATGATTAAGTAACAAGAGTTTGAAAGTTTTAGAGGGTCTGCTTCCAAGGATATATGCATTGCTTTGCTCACCACCTTTCTTGAAGCTGCATCTTAGCTCCATTACATACAACATGATTTTCTGAGTTTTCATGTTCTCTTTGTAGCTAAAAATAGCATGTCTAGAATGATTCTGTTGCCATAAGATTCCTAGTTATTCCAAAATTTCTTGGTCTATATGATGTTCAGTAAATCTTATGTTGGTGGTCACTTAACAAAAATTGAAGAATTGCATGAAGTACTTCTTTTCATTTTTGATTGGTGTCTTTCTTAGGTTTTTGCATCATGATTCAAAGTTATAGGTACTTTATAAACATTACCATTAACAGGCGATGGTTACATGACTTCATTGGAAGCTTGAGTTATTATCTCGTTTCTGTAGTTAATAACCAAATGCACAAGATTTTCTTGGGTGACCAAAGCAAGTTTTGCTTAAAAGAGAAGTGAAACAATCAACTAATCAAGCAACATGTTAAAGAAATTAAGATTTGACTTGACTTTGCTTATCATGTATGTCAGCCAATCTGTTGTACATTATGATTTCTAAGATTAGCTCTCTCTTTAACTCGCGATTTGTATGAGGATGAAACGGGTTCTCTGAACTTTCACCTGTGGAAAATGTAATTGCATTTTGTATGCCAAAGCACACTCCTTTCTCCAGTACTTTCCTAGCTGATTTTTGTGGTCTTTTGCTTAGACGAACAGAGGACAGAATTTTGAAGCCTCTTCAGCACGATCTTTATGGCTGGAACTCAATAACTTTTGGCCTGCATTTCCTCCAAATAGCCCATCAACGTTTAAAACAACTGGCAGTCTAGTTTTGTTGATTTTACATGTCCAATTCTGTATTATTGCTAAAGTCAGCTCATTCCATTTAAACTTGTGATTCTAAGGCGATGAAATGGTTTCTCTGAACTTTTACCTCTTGATAATGAACTTGCAATCTTATCTGAACCATTTGATTAGTAATTGCTATCAGAGTCACATATGATGGTTTTCTGACACATTTTTCCTTTGTTTTGGCTTTCTCCCCATGAAGACAACGGTCAATCGAGGAGGTTTTGCAGCTATTGGTCATCAATTTCATGTATTGGTTCAAAATTTCATATTATGCATAAAACAAAAGAAATCGTGTCATGATGAAGATATTATTGAGGTAGCCAAGGAAGATGTACTGTTCAAGCAATGAAGTTGTACTATTTTGAAGCATTCCAGTAGCTAGTCAACCCTGCTTGCTGCTCTTAATGAATCCATCTTGATAAAGGCTCTTAAGCTCTCTCTGCTTTTATGATTGTTGGTGCTACTACTTTTATGGTGAGTTTTTTCTTTTAGGGCTTTGGTTACAATGACACAGAACCTGCACTTATCTGAAAATTTCTTTTGGCTTTATTCTATGCTATATGCCGTCTTGAGTTTGAGTATTTGTGCTTTGCAGTGATTTTAGGCCCAAAGCTCAACAGGGAACCTCATCGATGGCTCTTACTGTCTTGAGCTTGATTTGGGGCAAAGCATGGATAAGATAATGAAGAAGTTTCCAAATATCCGCAAACTGAAATGCGGTCTCGCTGAAACAGAAAAATCTTGTGGGGATTGGAACAGGATTGTGGCAATGGACTTTCTGAGACGACTGGAGTCAGTGAAGCTGTCTTTTTAGGGTGTGAAAGAGAAGGATTATGAGTTCAGTTTCCCCATGAATCTAAAAAAGTTGACCCTGGAAGTATTTCCCTGGAGTATGATTCCTCAATAGGAAGACTACCTAATCTTGAGGTTCTCAAATTACTGGGTACAAAAGCTGGTGGGGAAGAAATATGGAACATGGAAGAAGGGGAGTTCCCTAAACTCAAATTCTTGAAATTGGAATTGTTGTGCATTGTCAGGTGGACGTGCTCCGGTGATCATCTCCCCTGTCTTCCGAAATTGGTTTTGGAAAGCTGCTTGAACTTGGAGGAGCTTCCTTCTTGTTTGGGGGAAATTCCAACTCTTGAATTGATTCAGGTGCATCGCTGTCCGGGCCATGTTGGAAGTTTGGTTCAAGAGATTAAGGAAGAAGAGATGAACGGGGGAAATGTGAATCTGAAAATCCTTGTCTTAGATCAAAGAAGATTGTGAATACTTCTTTATGTTTACTTTCAGATTCAGAGGAATACTGAGACCAGTCCTTTTTTTAAAAGATTAGAAGGATGAGCTCCCTGTAATGCATATATGTAAATGAAGATGCTTTAACAACAAATCAATGTAGGTTTTGACATATTGATCACGAAAATGCTGACTGTGGATACAATTTCTTCAAATGATTAAACCTGAAATATGTTAAAGATTGCATTATAGATTTTGATGTAGCCCAATGGACAATGTCATTGTTCGTCCTAGATAATGGTACATCCATTATAGCTCCTCTCCGTGCTTCCTTTTCAGGTTCTACCCATCTAAACAGCCATAAAGAAAACATCAGGCCTCCAAACCACGACCCCTCCAGATTATTCATAGTTGTTTTCCAATAGACTCTGCTCAAGCTATCAACATTCAGTAGTTATATTAAGACAAGAAGCATTAGAGTAGTTTGAGCTTGTGCCAAAAATGTGTGGAAACAGCAGAGACCTCGAGCTAGGAAACTCTAGAACTTATATACCAAGGAACCTCCATTATCTATCAAACTACATATCCAAGTGGGAGGTATGTATAAGTTTAGGGATTTAAGTGTCCCATTTTGAAGTTTAGGGACTGAAGTGGGTAATCGTCCAAAGTTTGGGGGGACAAAGTGGTATTAATCCCCAGAAAAACCAAAGACATTAGGCTGGCCACTCTGATGGATGACATCAACAATTTAAGCTCTTTGTTGCAAAAATGCTCTTTTTGTTTAGATATAGCAAATGACAATATAAGTAAATATGTTAGTACTTATGTAGTAGGTATTTGTAGTGATGAGGAATTGAATAATTCTCAAGGTGTTTAACACCTTTGTATTGCCTCTCGGAACCGTTGCTCTACAAGGGTAAAGTTCTGATTTTATCAATATAACTTTTGTTGTTTCTGAGAAAAAAAAAAAAAAAAGAAGCTTACTTGTCAGTTAGGCATCTTTAGACCTTGTTTGGATTGTATTCTTTTGTAGAAAATTTTTTCAGATTTTTCCAAGAATATATCTTGACACATTTTCTAATAATATTTTTAGCTCATACGCATCATATTAAAACAAGTGCTACAGTCTATTTTCCTACAAAAAAATTCCAAAAAAATTACTATCCTATAGCATATATTTTACTCTAATGTTTGTGTTTGCACGGATTGAGTCCCTCATAGCAAACTAAAGCATATATTTTACTCTAATTCTTGGATAATGGAATGATAAAGATATTTGACACATGTATCAATAGATGAGGGAGGACAAGCTAATGATTTGCAGTCATTGTTTGCTTAAGTAGCAATAGCAAGGACAAATCATATTGCCATAGCTCAAAATTTATTTTCCGAGCAAATTTTGTTAAAATGACGCATTACGTCCAAACTACATTTGGACCTGAGAAGGGCAAATTTAGTAGTTTATGCAAAAAATTATTGTGGAAATAAAATTTGTGTTGTGACATTAGAGCCATTATTTTTTTTTCACCATAGCTGTCAAAAATTGCAAAATTTCAAATATGAAGGGTGCTGCAAATGGAGGTAGTAATGAAAGAAAGGAAATAAAAGATTGGTAGACGTTGAAGTTACATTTACGTAATTCATCCTTTGATATTAGATTTTGCACACTGGAGCTTAAGTTAGGTAATTGTAAATCATGTGGAGACCAATGCTTTGTTTGGGAGCTTAGATTTGACAGGAAATGAGAAGAAAGTGAGAGAATATAGCTCTTTTATGATGTTTGGGAGTTGTGGAGTGATGGAAAAAAAAAAAGAGAAAATGAGAAGATTTTGGATGCATTTACAGTTAATAATACTTTTCCAACAAAACAGAGTTGAAGCAAGCTTTCTGAAATTGTTTAAAATACCAAATTTATACTTAAATGTCTATTAAACAAAATTTTATTGGCATATGTATCCAATATCATTTTATTTCTTTACTAAAATCCCAAACAATATCAAAACTAAATCTCTTCTTTTCTTTTCTTTCATGACTTGAGCTTTCTCTTCTTTTCTTTTCTGTCTAAAACTCCCAAACTAGCTGCAAATGTTGAAAATGTTAGTACCTCTTAACTGTCAAGATGGCTTGCATGGATGCAGATAACAATCAGAGTGTCCTTTAACAGTGTGAAAAGATGTCAAGCTAATGACTATCTAACCGAAATCTATTGGTAGCTGCATGTATTTAGAATTTAGATGCAAATTAGGTCATTGAATATGCTTTTGATACTAATCAAACTCCAAGTGCTAGCTTCCATCTACCACGGTGTTTTAACTGGATTGAGATGCTGATCTTCTTCCGAGTGAATCCCTCTACCTTACAAACTGGGGCTTTAAGTCAGGCTGCATAAACAGAGGAAACTTCAATGTGCTCTCCAAATTTACCTTGCACGCCCAACTCTGCATCTTGTTTCTTAATTTTAACGTGGCGTGAGAATATGCTGAAGTTTATGGCCCTTCCCATTGATTGTATTATTGTTCTTGCAATTCTAACTACTCATGTCAAAATGATCAATTCTTAACTATGCTGAAGTTTTGCTTCCCACCACCATTAGCATGCTTGATAGAGCCGTTATTTGGCACGTTTTGCACTGTCATCTTGTCCTAATTTTGGCTATTCATGGTGCTAAAGAAGGGGATTTCACTCATATTTGACATTTGTGTGAATTGTAGGTGGTTAGCATTAAAAAGATATCGCGGGGAAAAATTTCCAGAAGACTTGTCGTCCCAGGGCGTGACCACGCCTTGGAAGGTGGACGAAACCGAAAGACGGACCGTGGTCCACGTGAACCCGGAGCGTGGGATCAAAACTCCAAAGGAGATACCTTTTGCAATCAATTGGGCCAGACGTCTGTTTGCTTCTTGACTTCTCTTGGGCGGCACTGCATATAAAAAGGAAAAAGAGATTCAGAATCGGGAGTTAGCTTTAGTTTTCTTTTTGGCTACTTTTTGTCAGACGCCGCCCTTCGCTTTTGTTTCTTCGGGGGCAGCAAATTAGATAGGAATTTTGACATCGAATAAAAAACGCTAGCTTTAGTTTTTTTCCTTTTCCCAGGCGCTAGACGCCCCTTTCTCTGTTGACTTTCAACTTTTCCGCTGGACAGTTCATTCGTAGCTTTGGCTTTGTAATTGGGACTCCGAAGCAGGGACGAAGGCAGGGCCTTTTCGGTTGTTATTGCAGTTAATTTCCCTTTCCCAATTCCTTGGCAAATAATTGAATGAAGTCAATTAAACCACGCGGGATTGAAACGATGAGGAGCGGCTAATTTCCTCCTCTACCCAAAGGTTGACGCGAAGGCGCGGTCCATAATATCTGTGAGATCTAACCGAATCTTCATTATTTCCTCCGATTAATTGCTATTCGTGCATTTCCTGAATTAATTGTTCATGGGTATTTTATTAATTGAATATCAACGGCCGGGTATTTGATTTAATTTAATAGCCTGCTGCCACGTTAATTAAATAGAATCCGTAATTGTTCATTTAGTTAACACCCCGTGGCAACCACCATAATTGGTTTTATGATGGGGAAATGCAAGATCTAGTTTAAATAAACCCTCTTAGCGTGTTTATTGGTTAGGGTTGGGTTCTTCTAATTTTAATGCAATTGGGTAATTAAATTCCTAAGGTCGTACCTAGGGTTGTTATCTGGTTAGGGAAGCAATCAATGGTCGTACCTTGACTGTCGAAAAGGTAAGGAAGAATTGGTTGTCAGACCTTATTGATAGCTATAACCAATCTAGTGATGAATGGGTGAAATATCTTTGCATCGATGATCATTTAATTGGACAGTGCCTGAGCAGTTGATCCTTTGGGTAGAACTTTTATTAATTGCTATTTTTAGTTAATTGTGCTTTGTGAGTTGGTTTTGAATTTAGTTCGCTTTGTTTTTATTTTACTTTTATTTTATTTATTCCTCTCCCATTGAAAATCCCCCAAATTTTGCTCTGCTGATTTGGAAAGAAATAATTTCCTACCTGCTCCCTGTGGAATCGACCCTACTTGCCATTGTACGCAAAATTAGTATTTTTATAGACAACATCGGTATCTCGGATCAAGCAAACTCTTCGGGAACAGGGTGAATCAAGTAACCCATTGCACACCTAGGGTCCCTGCTCCAGTACTTGGATTTGTTCTATAATTATTTAATTGAGGTGGTAATTAGGACTTTTTAGTAATTATTATTGCACAGGTTCGGCACCTGTCAATTTTTGGCGCCGTTGCCGGGGAGTTGGCATTTGAATTATTTGTTTCTTTTCAAATTTAGTTTTTATTTTATTTTTATTTTATTTTTATTTTATTTTATTTTTCTTGGTATTTTTGCTAGTTTATGCCCCGTTCTTCTCGCACAGGTGACTTGGTATACGATCCTGAGGTTGAGAAGGCAGCGCGTAGGCGGAGGCAAGAGACCAAGAGACAAAAAGAAAGGCACTTATTTGCTGCAGACGAATCAGCGGAAGACGAAGTAAGCATGGCCAACACCCAAACATTGAGGGAACTGGCTGCCCCGGAGTTGACTCATCAGCCCTTATGCATCACATTCCCCACTTTGGCAGAGAATACTGCTTTCGAGCTGAAGTCGGGGTTGATTCACCTTCTACCTTCTTTCCATGGTCTCTCTGGCGAAGAACCCCACAAACATGTCAAGGAGTTCGAGGTAGTTTGCTCCAGCATGAAACCTCCTGGGGTCACTGAGGAGCAGATAAGACTTAGAGCTTTCCCCTTCTCTCTCAAGGATTGGCTATACTACCTACCAGCGGGTAGTATTACCACATGGGTACAGTTAAAGAAGAAATTTTTGGAAAAATTCTTCCCTGCATCCCGGGCTGCAAGCTTGAGGAAGGAGATTTGCGGCATCAAACAATATCCCGGTGAGTCCCTGTATGAATACTGGGAAAGGTTTAACAAGTTGTGCACTAGATGCCCACAGCATCAAATTAGTGAGCAACTGTTAATCCAATACTTCTATGAGGGGCTCCAATCAACAGACAAGAGTATCATTGACGCTGCCAGTGGGGGAGCACTTGCAAACAAGACACCGAGGGAAGCGTGAGAGCTCATCGAAGCCATGGCAGAGAACTCCCAGCAATTTGGCTTCCGTGAGAGCAACCCTCCCCGTAGAGTCAACGAGGTAGAGACTTCATCCTTACAGCAGCAACTGTCAGAATTAACATCGGTTGTTAGGCAATTAGCCATGAGAG